CAGCGTCTCAGCCACTCCACAGCAGCTGTTAATCCTCTCGGGGAGGTGGAGTACATGCAGCGCTGTAGCCACAGAGATTCAGGGCTGTAAGTGCCCTGCCAGTGTGGACGGGGAGTGAGTTACAGCGCTGGGGGCAGCTTTATTGCGCTGTAACTCTCAAGTGTAGCCAAGGCCTACCTCTTGCAGCAAGCAGTATATAAAGCTTTAGAATTAAGAAAACTGCTATGCATGCCTATACTATATCTATCTAGTGGTTCCCGAACTTTGGTCCATGGAGCACTTGCTGATGGTTCAGAGACCTGGCTTGTCACATGGTGCTGGCTCTTCTCATTTTTTTGTTGATGAAGTGCATTAAAATGTAAAGGTACTTTATCATCTTAATTCTTCCATGTAAATATATTGCTGTAGTTGTCGCAGTGATGTAATGTGACTGTGATTGGGAGGTGACATTAGTGAATCTTAATAATCTCAATTAAGAATATGTTACACCCTGTGAAAAGCTTGGAACTCCCTTCATCCTCTAGCTAAATATTTAGTGTTATATATGGGGATGATAGTAAGGTACCTTTTTAACCTCCTGAGTTGATCAATTTATTGTATGCCCTAAAGCATGAGCTTTAACCTTCAAGCTCATACTTGAGTATTAGTCCTCTGGTTACAGAGTACCAACAGGGTACTATCCCAGCAGGATATCCATAATCTTGGACATGTCTACTTTAACCTAACAAATGATCCTTGCTTGTTGCCAGTTCCAAAGACTAATTAACAATGGTCAGGTCCATAAGCATAACTGTATAGACAACAGAAGAAGAATGTGGATATATTTGGTGATGGAATTAATGTAAACAATGTACATTTTATGCTGGGATGCTATTAAAAAAAGCGAGTCATTTACTTTAATAGAGAAGAAATTAACAAACTTTTCAAAAGTGCCTAGACTATGTCAAATGAAGGCAGCATTGTTAAGTATTAATAAAGAATCTTGCCTGAAAGCATGTCACATGGGAAGACAGTTGTTCCTGTTAATAGGTTCAGAAAAATGACTTGACAGCAAAAAGTCTTAAAGCAAATAGACTGTTTTCCTGTGCTTTTAAAGTCTAGGGTTTCTCTAGCCTAGAAATTTGCCAGCTTTATCCTCATTTTATTGTTTCCACTATTTTTGAGGTGTATTGTGCAACGAAGAGGAAATGAAAACAATCTTTAAACATTCAAGTGTAAAGATGTTTATTTGACACCTGCAATGTGAGAAAATAGAAAAATGGCAAATGTTTTCTCAGAAAATTTACAGGGTATATTAACACTGTTTACATTAGCAATGCAAAGTATTTAAGCTACTAAGAAGCACTGCTTATTGTCACTGAATTTTAACAAGGCTGTCATCAGTCCTTCATACCTGAACTCTGTTTCTGTCTTCTGCTTTTTTGGCAGAAACATTTGAAACCTGGGTTTTATATTGCCTTACAGGTTCCTTCTCCTTCAAAATGGACTTGTCTGTCCTATTAAGTAAAGTCTCCTCATGGGTTGTGATGGTACCAGAGGCACCTTTGATTATAAATCATGTACAGTTAGGCCCTGCATATTTTACAAATTTAACATTTATTTTAAAATACATTTAATTTTTATTTCAGTGGAATTCAAAGTACTTATCCTGGACTCTGAACTTGCACAGCATTTTAAAAGTATATTAAAAATAAAACAATCAAATACAGAAGTATACACAGACTGCCATAAATTCACAATGATGCTGGCTAATATTACTAAATTAAGTAGTAATCCCATTTTTCCATAGCAGGAAATAAGTAGCTAATATGTTTTTAGCCTATACATTTCTTAAATTGCTTTTAAGCGCTTAAGAGAACACTGTTTGAATCCTAGAAGTTGAGTTAACTGTAAGCATGGTCCCATAGCAAACTTCAGTTTTTAGTTGTAGTATGGGCCAGGTTGCTAGATAATACTTAGCTGCTGATATACTGTGAATTGTGAGAGTGCCTCTGTGGGCTAGATACCTGCAGAGTAGATATTTCCCTAGCAAGGAAGTAACCAGAGGTTAGATGCACTCCAGCACACATGGAGGAAAAACACTTCTGAAAGACTAAATGACGGACCATTCAGCTCTGATTTGACATGGGAACAAATTGTGAGAGCCACACACACACACATCACTATTTTACTGTACTTGTTACAATTGTCATGCAGACATGAGTGTACTGAATCCATGACAAATAAATATGGCTCTGCGTTCTCAGATGTGAAATAATTCTTACTAGTATAGGACACTTATAAATCTGTCTTAAACACAATTACCAAATTTTATTCTTTTTAATGTGACGTTCTCCATTTGGAGTGATTCGTTCTTATGATGCATGTTGAAATATTTCAATAAGACATGAAAAATCACTATTTTTTTTACATTTCTTGTTGAAGTATGAATCCTACATATAATAAAATGAAAAGCTGCTAACATAAGCATGGTATCTGCCATGGCAGTAGCAGTGTTAACCCTTTATTGGAGCGTGGTGCAGCTCAGGATGTTAATTCATTACATTCATCTAACTTTTCATTAGTCGATCTCAAAGTGCTTCATAAGTATCAGTATGTGTTATTCCCATTTTACACATGGAAAAACTAAGGCATTAAGAGGTTGTGACTTGCCAGATGTTACCATAATGAGTCAGTGGCAAATTTGAGAATAATAATCCCTAGCTCTTACATAACACTTTTCATCAGTAGGTCTTAAAGCACTTTACAATTGAGGTTAGTGTAATCTGTGATGGGTTGGATCACAGAAACCCCCTTGGGGCTGCCAACTGATGTGCCAAGACTACTACTTTCCCTGCCAGCTTGGGACTCCAGCACCCTGTCTTGCTGAGCCAGACACGCCAGTCTGCTCCAATACAGACCCAGGGTCTGAACCATGTGCCCCAAAGCTGCAGACTTAACTGAAAGCGAGAAGTGTTCCTGTCTTTAACACTCAGATGCCCAAATCCCAATGGGGTCCAAACTCCAAATAAATCTGTTTTTAAACTCATAAATTGTTCGCCCTCTATAACACTGATAGAGAGATATGCACAACTGTTGCCCCTCCTCCCCCCAGGTATTAATACATACTCTGGGTTAATTAATAAGTAAAATGTGATTTTATTAAATAAAGAAAGTAGGATTTAAGTGGTTCCAAGTAGTAACAGACAGAACAAAGTGAATTACCAAGTAAAATAAAATAAAACATGCAAGTCTAGGCCTAATACAGTAATAAAACTGAATATAGATAAAAGCTCACCCTCAGAGATGTTTCAATAAGTTTCTTTCACAGACTGGATGCCTTCCTAGTCTGGGCACAATCCTTTCCCCTGGTACAGCCCTTGTTCCAGCTCAGGTGGTAGCGAGGGGATTTCTCATGATTGCAGCCCCCTTATATGGCTTTGGCACAAGGCAGGAATCTTTTCTCTCTCTGGGTCTTTCTCTTCTCTCCCCTCCCTCCCCCAAAAGCACCAGGTTTAAGATGGATTTCAGTACCAGTTGGCATGGTCACATTTCCTGTGAGATTCCAAGCCTTCATTCCTCTCAGCCTGACTCACAGGAAAGCCTGCCTGCAAACAGAGCAATCCACAGTCAATTGTCCTGGCTGATGGGAGCCATCAAGATTCCAAACCACCATTAATGGCCCACACTTTGCATAATTACAACAGGCCCTCAGAGTTATATTTTATATTTCTAGTTTCAGATACAAGAGTGATACATTTATACAAATAGGATGACCACACTCAGTAGATTATAAGCTTTGTAATGATACCTTGCAAGAGACCTTTTGTATGAAGCATATTTTAGTTGCATTATATTCACAATCATCAGCATATTTTCATAAAATCATATAGAGTGCAACGTCACATCATTATCCCCTTTTTACATTTTAATAAAACTATGGTATCCTGCTTCTGTCATATGCCATACCCAACGGATTACAATCCCTTGTGTAATGAATCAACAAGTACATTCTTAGTTGTCTAATGTGTTTCAAAGTGCAGGTTCTGCTACTTTAGCATTGTCCCAGAAAAAAATTCCAGTCAAGATTTTTTTTATTGTTAAAATGTCATACCATTCTTATTTGCTGTTTGTATATTCAATAAAAAGCTTTGTTTGGAATGTTTTTTAACTTACTTGGATGCTGCATGAATTTCTGTGCACATGATAACTTAGTGCTACTGTGCCAGAGATGGGGGCTTGCTGCAAAATTTAGGGCTAGTATTATACAGAATATGCATGGCCCTGCTTATAGACTTTGTGCCTTTCTCTAAGTCATGCCTCTTTGGATACTGTCAGGATATTAAACTAAATTGCAACTTTTTACTCTTAAATATATATATTTTTTGTAGTTAAATGTAGCATAAATCTGGTCTAAGAAGTAGTTATTGCATTGCCACCACCAGGAGACAGGAATTGCTGTATCAGAATAGACTACTTTGCAGTGTCTCCTTTCTTCCCCCACAAACATCCTTCTGGCCAAATAGGGTTGGACATTACACCCTCAGACCTTATCATCGTTCTTGATCCAGAGGTATCACAATAGGGTGACATGACACACCCCTTTTATACAACTGTGTTTGTAGTGCTCTTAACACGTCCCAGTGTGGAGAGTAAACATCTAAATCCAGTGTTAATTCCACTCTGAAGAGTGGCTGATAACACTGTAGTGCTTTGGTGGCATTCCCAATGCCTACAGGTGCAGGCAGCAAGAATTTGGGACCAGAAATCAAACACCTGGATGACAGTACAATGTACTGTCACATCAGGCTAGTTCCTATTTACCTCTTCAGAAAACAGCACCAGAGAATTTAGCTTTCAAGACTTAGGGTTTAAACATTTAGGCTATTGTTTACAGTTTCATGGCTGAATCAGTGATGTTATGAAAAATTGTGCTGTTGGAAAATATACAGATGAATTATCTGGGTTTTATGTTAGTATAAATTTGACCCTGTTGATAGTGTGATTTTTCTCTTCTTTAGTATAATGCTTCACCACAGCAGCAAAGAGAAATAATTAAGAGTAGGAGTCTGGACAGGAGGCTACAAGAACCAATAGTTTTAACAAAGTGGAGGCACAGCACGATTGTGTTGGACACCAATGACAAGGTAGGAATGAGTTAAAGAGCATGTTAGTATTTTCGTCATTATCTGGTTAGTGAAGTGTTTAATTCACACTAATTTCTGAAGGATTCATTATTGGCAGTTTTTCTATGCTACGTACCATGCAGTGTGCGTAAACATTCAATGAAACCAAGGACTACTTGATAAACTGATAAATTTCTTTTTATTTTGAAATAGAGTAGCTTATTTTTTATCTTTATTGGACTCTTTCTCTTCTGAACTATTTCCATAAGCCTTCATTTGATTGACTGTTGAATTTTAACTAATATTAATTTAGGCTTTGTATGTTCAAAACCGTTTACTTGCCTCTAATTAGAAACCACCTATGTTTTGGTTAAAAATGGATAATATTTTGCAACGTAATATCAGTTATGTAAAATGCTCAGTACCTTGTATCTGAAGGCTTGAACTGTCAGCAGCAGAGATATGGTATGAAAACACTGGTGAAGTGCAAACATTTACAGTTTTCTTTTTCAATAGGTGTTTATATGGGTTTCACTGTCACAGTAATATTAGGCACACATGGGTATTTGCCAAGCTAAATATTATCTTTAAGATGGGAGTGATAGTAGAAATATGTAGTGACTTTATTCTTTTAACAAATATTCCCTTGAGTTCCTTTGTATTTGGTTTGGTGAGGAGAACATTTCAGCTAATAATGTTGAGGATATGCTATTGTCACATGGAGCTATTTTTGCTTATACACAGGGTATTGAAAGTGCTAAACAGGTGGCTCTAATTTCTCTCCAGAGATCAACTGAGTTGAATAGCTCTTTCAGTCTCATTTTTAAAAGCTGCTCCTTGCACAGTGATTGTTGGTGGTCCCCCTCAATTAGGCTCTCTTAGCACCTAACAAAATATAAAGCAACGTATCTTAAGTAAAATTAAAAGGACAAGTGTGCCCACTATACCCTTTATCTCATTTTAGCAATAGCTGAGTTAGTTATTACCATAAGATGCTTTAAATGATAGGTATCAATATAAATAGAGTAGAAATGAAACTAGCATTGTATCCTGATGAGTTTCTAGCTTTCAAAATTCAGCCAGAGCAATCAGTCTCAGGATTTTAATGGAAATCATAGGTAACTTTGCAATACTGAGGATATAAAATAAACTAGTTAAAATCTGATACCTATCAGTTGGAATGGATGCATGTGTTCTTCCTGAAAATTTCCCTTTAATAAAGGCAAAGGGGGAAATTAGATAGTTGGGAATATGGATCTCCATAGTTGTATAAACATAAATGGGCAACTGCTATTACAAATGTTAAAGAAGCTCTTGTTAAATGGAAAAAGTTCTGCATTACTGTTGAGTAGAGTGACTGTAATAAAAATGAATATGCTGTTTAGAATATTATAACTTCATCCAGATGTATTTTTATTTTAAATCATTCTCTCTCTTAATTGAAAGAGAATGCTTTCTTCCAGAAACTGAGTAAACTCAGGTGCCCAAAAGAGGGTGAATGTATTGGATTACCTGGCTTCAAAAAGTACTATTGGACTACCCAATTAGAATACACACCATGCCCGGAAGCCAATGGGTAGCACTTGTCTTGGAATCAAACAATTTTCACCTGCCCGTGTTACTTTATTGAAAACTTTATTTTGTTAAGAGAAATTTATTATATGGCCCAGCCATGGTACATCCCCTTTATACAAGGTCTGGTTCAAGATTAGGAAAGTTCTCTGAACACAATAGAAAATAGTCAGTAGTAGGAGGTCTAGGCTTTCCACAAGGACTCATAGATCCCATATTCCAAATGTGGGCAAGATTGGGACTCAAAAGAGACTACAAAATAATCGTTCACAAATAGCAGGCTTCCTATATCTATAACAAAAAGGTGTTTGAAACAAGAACTGGCTGTACTACCTGCAATTCAGAAGCAACTTTTTAAAATACTTCAATATTAAAAAGACTTGCAGGAACTGCATCCTATTGAAAAGTCTGCTATAAACCCTTTGACCTTAATAAATCTTAATATCAGCCTATAAAATACTAATGAACTTTACTGAAGGGAACTCCATAGGTACCATAGCTCTTAGGAATAAAGGTTTAAACATAAAAATTAGCCAAAAGCCATGGATAAAAGATGGATGGATAAAAATATATATTTCCAGAAATTGTGGACTAATAGTCTAGTTCTTTTTAATCCCCATGAGCTTTAGTTCTTCAAGATTATATAATTTGCAAAAAACACCAAACAATAAATCTAAATTACAAGGAATCTTATATTTTCATGTAATATGGTCATATCAGTTAACACAAACTTCTTGAGCAAAAGTAACATAGTAAAGTACAAGTTGGAGATTGTGCTACACACAATTCTGTATTAAATGTTAATACGTCTTAAAATGGGCAAATGCTGTATACTATAGTTAAATCTGTTCCCCCTGGAATAAGTAAATATTTACATGGAATAAGTAAATATTAGTGATACTGACTTCAGACAGACACTTAAATAATTAAAGCGTAATAATGTGTTTGGTACCGTACAAGGCATAAATACAAGAATCCCTGACCTGAAGGGTTCTATCACAGCTTTGCCTGTTTGATTCCCATAATGAAGAAGGTATAGCCATTTATGGCCTGCATGAGTAATTTACACCTGTCAGTTTGATAGTGTTTTAAATATCAAAGTAAACACGTGACATCCATTTGATGTTTTTTCAGTGTAGAACTAAATCTTATCAGTATTAGGAATTCAAAGACTTCCTGTTTATGTTGGAGAGATTTTCCCCAAAATTCAAACAAGATAAAAAATGGTTCAACTAAACTAATTATAAATCCAATTGGTGCCCTAGTGTGGGCAAGGTTTTTGGACAGCTTGAAACATTTTTACTGAAACAATTAGTGGAATTGTTTTAAAAACTGGTTAGAAACTTTCCTCGTATAGACAGTGCTTCAAGGCTAGATGTTCTATGTGCTCTCAATTCCCACTGAAGTCAGTTTAGGACACTCAGCACTTTACAGAGTTAAGGTTTCAGCAATGCCTGGAAGAACCAGGACACTTTTGATTCCTGCAAGTGCTTTCACACACCGAAGAACAGATATTGCAAAATTTTGCTAATTATTTTCATTTTCAAAGCTGCTGAATACAAAAAGTAAACAGGAAACATAAGTAGTGAACAATAAACCTGAATTTTAAAAATCTATTGGTAATATTGCAAGTTATTAATTTCATTTGGTCTTTTATTAAAATATTACTTTAACCTCGCAACGGAGCAAGTTGAATATTGAAAAACAAAGCAAAAACAAATCACTATTCAACTTGCTGAAAAAAAACAACTCAACTATATATAGAACTAGTATTTGAGGGAAAAGGTGTGGTCCAATAGATAGAGCACCACATTGGTGTTAGGAAGCCTGGTTCTGTGGCACTGTCTCACACACACAAACAAAATGAGCACAGAAGTGCTTATCCTCCTCTGGGAAGCATTTTGTGGTTGATAGATGAAAAGTGCTACTGAGGTGATTGTTCACTAAGTTCCACTTTCGACGTCTCCAACTCAAAGAATATTTCCAACATACCTCTGAACAGCATACTAACCCACAGAATCCCCCCTACCAGCACTACAAACAAAAGGATTCTGCGTGGACTCCTCCGGACGGTCGAAACAACAGACTGGATTTCTACATAGATTGCTTCCGTCAACGTGCAAAGGCTGAAATTGTGGATAAGCAACATCACTTGCCCCATAACCTCAGCCATGCTGAACACAACGCCATCTACAGCCTCAGAAACAACCCTGACATCATTATCAAAAAGGCTGACAAAGGAGGTGCTGTCGTCATCATGAATAAATTGGAATATGACCAAGAGGCTGCTAGACAGCTCTCTAACACCACATTCTACAGGCCATTATCCTCTGATCCCACTGAGGATTACCTAAAGAAACTACACCATCTGCTAAAAAAACTCCCTGACAAAGCACAGGAACAAATCCGTACAGACACATGCCTAGAACCCCGACCAGGGACATTCTATTTGCTACCCAAGATCCATAAACCTGGAAATCCTGGACGTCCCATCATCTCAGGCATTGGCACCCTAACATCAGGCTTGTCTGGTTATGTGGACTCTCTCCTCAGACCCTACGCTACCAGCACTCCTAGCTATCTTCGAGATACTACTGACTTCCTGAGGAAACTACAATCCATCGGTGATCTTCCAGAAAACACCATCCTGGCCACTATGGACGTAGAAGCCCTCTACACCAATATTCCACACACAGATGGACTACAAGCTATCAGGAACAGTATCCCCGATAATGTCACAGCTAACCTGGTGGCTGAACTCTGTGACTTTGTCCTCACCCACAACTATTTCACATTTGGGGACAATATATACCTTCAAGTCAGCGGCACTGCGATGGGTACCCGCATGGCCCCACAGTATGCCAACATTTTTATGGCTGACTTAGAACAACGCTTCCTTAGCTCTCGTCCCCTAACGCCCCTACTCTACTTGCGCTACATTGATGACATCTTCATCATCTGGACCCATGGAAAAGAAGCCCTTGAGGAATTCCACCATGATTTCAATAATTTCCATCCCACCATCAACCTCAGCCTAGATCAATCCACACAAGCGGTCCATTTCCTGGACACTACTGTGCTAATAAGCGATGGTCACATAAATACCACCCTATACCGGAAACCTACTGACCGCTACACTTACCTGCATGCCTCCAGCTTCCATCCAGGACACACCACACGATCCATTGTCTACAGCCAAGCTCTAAGATATAACCGTATTTGCTCCAATCCCTCAGATAGAGACAAGCACCTACAAGATCTCTATCAAGCATTCTTAAAACTACAATACCCACCTGCTGAAGTGAAAAAACAGATTGACAGAGCCAGACGAGTACCCAGAAGTCACCTCCTACAAGACAGGCCCAACAAAGAAAATAACAGAACACCACTAGCTGTCACCTTCAGCCCCCAACTAAAACCTCTCCAGCGCATCATCAGAGATCTACAAC